CAATTTGTGGATCACACAAAGTGTCGTCCCATGTGGGGTTTGAACCCACAACACTCGGCGTAGTAGGAAGCGGCGTGGCGACCGCTTAAACCACTACGCCATCCGTGCAGTCAAACAAAACAAATTGACGCGGACGAAGTCGCGGGCAACAGCTAGTTATCAATATATTTGTTATTCTGGTTTTAAGAATTATACTTACCCTTATGTTTAGCTTAAGATAAGTTATAAGTTAAATATTGTTATAATAGCTACCTACATTCATGTTAAAACAATAAATATTTTTTATTTTTTTTTTATTTTTATTTTTTTATTTGACAGTTATATTATCATACTTATACACTCATTAATTAATCTAGCTTTCATAGTACAAACTCTGCTTAGTTTGAAACTAGATGGCGTTGAGTGTCAGATGTCCGAAAATACAATTATCATATTATAAATTGTTATTGTCACTTATGACTTTACATTGGAAAAAACTGTTGTTGTAATCAAAATAGGACAATGTATTTTCGTGTGGCTTTATCCAATGATATACAAAGGAAAAAACTGCCAATTTTCGACTTGGGTGATTTTGTTCGAAAAGCCGCGATACGATTTACCAGATGATTGATTTGAATATTATCCTCAGAACCTTCTAAAGATGTACTGTCGATAGATATCATTTGAAATTATAATGCTATCAGATGATTATGAATTAGACTGCACGGGTGGCGTAGTGGTTTAAGCGGTCGCCACGCCGCTTTCTATTGCGCCGAGTGTTGTGGGTTCAAACCCCACATGAGACGACACTTTGTGTGATCCACAAATTGTTGTTCTGAGTCTGGGTGTACTTTGTGTCCGTTCCATACACGTTTGTAAAGTCCCCGCGACACTGGATTTATTCCTAGTGCGGGAGCTGTCTTTTAAATAACAAATAACAAACAAAAAAAAATGCGTCAAGCTTTTAGATTACCATCGAGCTAGATACATCTGTTCTATAAGTGGCACATAAATAATGTGTTAAGTTAGTAGTTTCTTCCCCTTAACAAAGAGAAGTCAAGACAAATAGCAAGGCTCTCAACATTACGAAGGTTTATTAGACCAACGTTTGTAAGAGAGGCGATTGTTCACACAGATACTATCCGACGATATCATTGTACAAATGGGAATTACCTCTATAGATTATATTAGACAATATTTCGACTTGACTGATAGCGTCATTGTGAGGTGGTTAGGTTAGAAGTGCCAATCTCTAATGCAGCTCGACGAATTTGTTTTCTTTTTTGCTATTGGTAGCTAATCGTTGTGGATTATTATAAATGCTGACCGATAACGGTAACTTTAAGAGCAAGCTTTATTCATTTAAATTAGTCGAGTCACCATTGTGTCAATGCTCAACACCTAACTCTCACTATGAACAGTCTGCTCATCATATCCTCTGGGAACGTAGTCTTTGGTATAATGAACGTAATATAATGCTGAATACCTTGCAGGTGGCACCTGGGGCGGTATACTATGGGGATCTTGTGTCAACTAGGGTGAATTTCCGTGCGTTTAGGCGATTCTGCCATACATATTATAGAAATCAAATATGGCTCACGTAGGACCCGTAATATTTCATGGCCGTGATGTTTCCCTGTTTAAAAGGGTGTTTGCCCATTTTGCTTCATTTTGTCTCCCGCTTTGATAAGGAGGGAAGTGGATTTACTGTATTTCCAACTCCTCCAATTTTCTTCTGATTAATTTCGTTGCGGGTTCCAAGACAGTTTAATTTCTTCCTGGGACTTCCCGAGTGTCATAACTCAGTGTGTTCGTGGGTCACTGCTGTGGATCCTGGTGTACAGGAGTTACAGTGGTGGGCGTGTGGGTGGGATTAGTCCCAACTTTAAATGCTGACCGAGAAAGGTTTTGAAAATAAAAATTTAACAAATATATACAGAACACCATGATTCCAGTCAGTAACATCTGAAAAAAAACTTACCAGTATAGAATAAAGATTATGTAATTTAATAGAACCCTATCAGATATTTATGCAATAGTTTAAAGTTAAAGTTTGGGCATTTAAGTGTATAATACGTAATTGTATAATATTAATAATTTAAAACCTTTCTTATGTTTATTATAATCAATGAACAATATTAAAATTAAATTATACAACCACAAAGGTTACCCCACTGAGTTACTCGAAGTCGGAGATGCACAAGAGTCGCAACAGAACTTAAAAACGTTGTTTTTATTCACTTTAAAGTATACTTGTATATCTCCATATAAAAGCCACATCACAAACATAAAAGCTTTCATTAAAACCTACACATGTAGGTCAGAAACTGCGGATCTCTTTAATACAGCGATGTAACGAGAACGTTGTTAAGGATCGGAGTGCAACTCAGCGGGAGTTAAGAAAAAAGATGCTTAATATCTACCAACATTATCTGGAGCGTGCCATTAATTCACGTTGAGGATATTAATATCTTCGCTTTACTGTGTACAAAAAATTGTGTGGATATTGTTTGATTGAGCAGAGGTAGCGTATGCGACTGCTGTGCTGAGGTAGCGTGTTCGATACCGGGATTGCTCCAAATGTTTGTATGATCAATAAATATTTTTTTCGGAGTTTGGGTGGTTTCTACGTTTAAGATGTATGTATTTACAAAAGAAACGTACAAAAGTATTCTATCAGTCAATCTAGTTTTTCTAGTGCAAACCCTGCTTAGTTTCAAACTAGTTGGCGTTGTGTGTCAGATGTCCAAAAATATTAAAAAAAGAACGAAAAAATTGACTGTGATATTTGTTAATGTATGGGAGAGTATGTTTAGAACAACAAAGTTAAGTTGTCACTAGAAAAAACAAACAGAAATGTCCTTGAATAGATTCTCGAGATCAACAATGAACTATATCGATTAAGGAACTATCAAGATATAACTTGGCAGAGGACACTTTTTGTGCAAGTCAAATTTAACCTTTGAGTCTCCTTTCGAGTTACCTATTCCCATAGACAGCTCCAACTCAAGACACATTTACACTCAAGATACAATTGCGTTACCCACCTCTGGGTGTCAATCAGAATTAGGGAGACCTAATACTTCAAACTGTACTTAAAATACTTAAAAGATTGGACCTAATACTTAAAGTAATAGGCATTCGTCTTTAATTGACATTGTCAAGGTACAATCTCAAATTTAACAAATTTGGCACAAATTAGTTTTTGCCTATTTTGCAACTTTGTTTATTGTTTTACAGCAGTTGTAATTCAAGGCTCTTTCATTAGCCGATTGTTTCGAATCCTAATTACTAGGACACTTAACTACACTCGTGAACTCGGGTCCAACAGAAGACCTAACATACTATTTAATTAGAAAATGAAAACTAGTAACTAGTAGTACCTTTTATCAAATTAGATTAAATGTTCAGAAAATATTGTAAATAGTACTTTGTTTTGCAGATTATAAAGAAATATGCCTTCTTATTAATCAAAAACTATCTTGCGTCTTGTACACTACAATTACAGCCCCGTTTTCAATTAGGGACATTTGTCCGTATATTTATGTCGGGTGACAATGTCGCAAGACAAATATTGCTTACTGAAAACGGAGCTTTAAGAGGAAAAAAGAGAGAATATAGATATTGGAGTATTTTTTCATCTGAATGAATATGAAGATATGAATCTTTAAAGCAAATTATAATACAAAAATTACTTTTAAACTCTCTTTCAAAGCTTTGTTAAAAGATAAATTTTGCAAAATACGTTGTAAAAGAATTTTGTTTTTGTAAAGGAAACGCTCTTTGTTAAAACTGTAAGTGACAGCTTTCGTTCTTAAAAATGGCTCACCAAAAAGGAAATACCGTGTATTAACTTACGAGCTTCTGTTCGTCTACTTTTATTGATGAGCTCCATTACAAACGTGTCAGTAGATAGCACCCTTATTATTTAGCAGCAAGCGGGACGCCGAGGCGTCTGGAGAAATATCGTTCTTATATATTTTAGCAGAAGGACAGCGTGTTTGCTTATAAACAGAGTACTTATGGCCGGAGATTGCGATCCTAAATTTTTTTTTGTGAAATTTAAAAACGAATTTGAAATGACGAGAAGAAGAAAAGAAATAACGCATAAGACGCATTAGATAAACATAAATAAAAAAATCAATACGGCTTAGTACTTTTCTCCGTAGACTTTATTTTTTAGTCTAGCAACAATTGACCTACTGTAATTTTAATAGACAAAGTTTTAAACCTGACACTTTTTTCTTTCGTAGCAATTGATAAGCTTACAAAACGTCTTTTTTAACACGCTTTTATTAGCTTCACCTGTATGTTTGTTTGTATGTAACCGACTCCTTTGAGCTCGATTTTGCCCTACTTTGAACGATCAGATTTGATTCAAACTTTGCACACCTGTCAAAGGTCGATGACAATGCAATAATCTGATCAAAATATCCGATTATCCTAATTAGATTCGCCAGGATTAATTAATTTCTTTCCGCATCCTTTGCATGCGAGTAAGAGAGACAGAGCTAGTGCGCGAACTACGCATGCGTGCAGTTCCAGACTTGCTCTTTCGGTCGCCAGAAAAAACAACAACAAACCAAAACACAAAAAAATTAACTAAAAAATGAAAAATAAATAATAGTTTAAAAAACTAAAATTAAAAACACGCTTTTATAGAAAATCTAACTAAAAAACAGAAAATAAAGTTTCATAAATTTGGATTAAGAATAGTGTAAATTTGATTAAGTTTGATTAAGTACAGTGTAAAAAAAAAATGAATGTACATTATTGTAAAAAAAAGCGTGGGTGCACCCCACGCTTTTTTTCTTTTCCAACAAGTCTTTCGTAACATGAAAGTGTATAATCTCAGATGCATAGATTAGGAATTTAAAAGAGATAAATAAAATAAAATAAAACATACAAATAGAACTCATTTTTATCTCCGTGCATTGTACTGTTGCCATTTTAGTCCAATTTTTATAATAACTACTGGAAAACTGCCTTATGATTTACTCTTTATAATTGTTGTTTTACAGCAAGGCAGCATGGCAGTCGTAGCGTGTCGCGTTGGAATGGGCCTGACGCAAGGTCTGCTGTATCCAAGTCTACACGGTGCATTAGGCCAATGGGTACCTGAAGAAGAACGCAGCCGATTAGGGACTTTCGTGTACTCAGGTTCGTATTTATTGCCGTTACGATTAATCATCGTCATCAACAGCCTATAACAGTCCACTGCTGGACATAGGCCTCTCCTTAGAAAGGATGTTTTGGCCTACTATACCATGCTGGTTACACCAGGGTTGGTGTAGGGTTTGTTTCAAGTTTTCCTTCTCTTTGCAGTGCTGTTGTCCTGCGTAGTTTGCTCCCTTAGCCGCGGGATGAATAGGGGTAGTGACACTCCGTATTCCTAATCCGTCACCACACGGATGGATAGATAGTTACGATTAGAAACCGCGAATCGGTGAATGTAAAGGGGTGCCCTTAGCCAGCTGGACCGAGGACCTGAGAAAGGTAGCTGGGACAGATCGGATGCTGAGGCCTGTGGCGCCGGTTGGGAACAGCCTTTATTTGAAATAGATTGTTTGAACGTTTTCTTATTTTTAAATATGAGTACATTTAGGTTTGTGAGAAGTAAAAAAAGATTTGTTTATAAAAGAAATATTCTAGACATATGTATAAGTTTTAAATCAATAAATCTCAGCACTCTTAGTTTTTCGATCACTATTCATTGAATACGTGATGGAAAAACCAGAGGCCCCTTCAATTATTGTATCCCGTTCCCTTTCCCCATTTTAATTACCAATATGGCAGAAGAATGCTTAACGCCAGCCGTCCTTAGCTGTTTTCAGACAGGATAAAGCAATACAATTTAATGATTGAAGTGAAGAGAAGATTTAAACAATATTTGTTTTGGGTCAGGGTCACTAAACACTAGACAAACAGGCCTGTCAAATAAATACTCACAAGTAAAATTAGATTCTTCCATAAATTAACCTCTATTATGTAGACTAACTGCTTTTATCATTCCTCAGGTGCACAATTCGGAACAATTGTGGAACTACTGTTATCAGGAGTCTTATCAGACAGTGCGTGGGGTTGGCCGTCCGTGTTTTACGTAGCTGGAATAGCCTGCCTAGGGTGGTCGATACTGTGGCTCCTCATAGGCGATTCCACGCCGGGTACTAGTAGATGGATTACGAAGGAAGAAAGGAAGTATATTGAAACTAATGCTGGATCCAGTGAATTAGGACATGGGGTAAGTTAACCGGAAGTACGCTTTTGCATTTTATACTTCCCTTTTTAAAGTATATCCAACTAATATTATAAATGGGAAGGTCAGTTTGTTTGTAAGCTTGCTTGTAAGTAGCTTAGCAGTAACGAAATGGACATAGGGTATTGTTTAGGTAGGGATTCCGAGCGATATTTGTCGGAATTCATTAATGGACAGAATCTACATTTAAGACCGCAAAGTGATTGCCAAAAGCAATTATAGTAATAAAAATATGTATTCAAGTTGAAGAGGGTCAAATAAAGATTAGGAAAGAGATTAAAAAGTCTACTGCTAATCATTTTTATATAGCGACAATCTAGATTTAATACGATATTTGACTTGAAAATAAGGTACAACTAAACATTTCTTTAAATAAGGATCAAAATCATATTTTTTTACAGAGTATGCCAACACCGTGGCTAAGTATTCTGACGTCACTTCCATTCTGGGCGATCCTCCTTGCGCATTGCGGTCAAAACTTAGGTTTCTGGACCCTGCTGTCTGAAATGCCATCTTACATGAACCATGTCCTCAACGTCAATATTAAAGAGGTAAGTTTAACGTTTTATGTATCTTGACCTGAATAGAATATATAAAAAGAAGAACTAAAGAGCGTACTCCTTCATCAAAGACCGGCAACGCGCTTGTAATTCCTGAGTTGCAGGCGTTTATTTCCTTTCGCTTTCCATCAGGCGACCGTCTGCTCGTTTGCCTCCTATTCCATAAAAAAAAACCAAACACCATTGCTTCTTATATCAAAGGGAATTCATATTCTCCAGTGTCAGTTATTTTTATTAACAGTTTATTTACTAATATTTTGTAAGTATGTACCTTCCTATTGGCCAGTCTGAAACGGTTGACACCATTGGGTGCACTAATTAAACACCAAAGTCAAATTGGACTCGAAAGACCCAACGATGTACACGGTTCCCGTTACACTATTATTAGTTAATTCCATTAAAGTCAATTAAAAAGTAATTTTAAAACAACATTTTTATGCAATTCTTAGGTCAATTTTGTTATTTTATTCTAATAACTGTGGTTTTGTTTCAGAATGGAAACTTATCATCTTTGCCGTACATTGCAATGCTTATTCTAAGTTTTATCTTCAGTTGGATAGCAGACTTCCTCGTGAACAGAAGAATAATTAGTCTTGTCACATCAAGGAGAATATTCAATTCTATAGGTAGAGCTTTTCTAACTATTCAATAAACTATAGTATTCGGCAAAAATTAGAAAATATTTATACTTTAACTTAAATTCACATAAATTATAATATTAATGATCAATATAGGGGCCATATTGGCATGACTTGCAATAGAGAAAATAATTTATATCATCATCATAATCGACAGCCTATAACAGTTCACTGCTGGACATAGGCCTCTCCTTAGGAGGAGGAGGTTTTGGATTCTATACCACGCTGGCCAGACGGGTTGATATAATCATATAATCACTCTAAAAATCCTACTTTAGAGTGTAATTCTGCCCTGTAAAACTATTAGCTAAAACGATTTATTTGTGACGATCTTACGTCAACTATTTAACATGAAATGCATGAAAGCAGGAGACAGAGCAGGCAATATTTAGCTTTTTCTCCTGACATTCGATAACCTAACCTTGTTTAATATTTTATTAATAAACGTTTCTCAATTCAGCTGTAACTTTTTTAAAGTTTGTTACCTAAGAACTCCGTTACGTCACACGTTACACTTCATCATATTGCATACGCATTCAAGTCGGTTATATTTATTAATTTAATTATTTAAATGTTGAAATGTTCTTCACTAAGATAAGCCCTATTCTGGTTGATTTAATGACTTTCATAATATTATTTCTCTATATTTTTCTGATGTAAATTTTCAGCTCTATGGGGTCCGGCAGTAGCTCTGATCGGTCTTTCATACCTACCTCCAGGCCACCTGACTCTAGCAGTAGTTTTACTGACGGTCACTGTAGGTCTCAACGGTGCACACTACTCAGGATTTATGGTGAGTTTAAGCATTGACTATGGTGCATTTTGAAGTAACACCATTTTTTATATTAAATACACTCGAGCGTAATGTATCTGAATTTAATAATGGATACCTGCAAAATCTAAAAATGCTAGCTTAGTAAATAAAATAATAATTTTGTTTGATAGACAATGAAATAAATCTAAATAATAATAAAAAATAATTATCACTTGGTGTTGATAAAAATTTACATAAGAAATACTCAATATTTTCTAAACACAAAAAAAGAAAAACATTGTATTTTCTATAACTTTACAATTTTCGCAGCCATTACTACAGTGAGTTGCCACCACGTTGGAGTCAACTCACTGTAAAGTACAAGTTTCTTTTTTTTTCTTTAAGCTTTTTTTATACCAATAACATCTGGCGTACAGTTAAAAGAAATATACTCTTTTAATTTAGATGTCTCATATTGACCTGTCTCCGAACTACGCCAGTACGATGATGGGTCTCACCAACGGTGCAGGAGCCATCTTCTCTCTCCTGGCACCTTTCACCGTTTCCATTTTTGTCAGTGATGAGGTAAGTTTTTATTTCTAGTCACTGTAGTTTGTGAACAAGGTAGACTTGATAAGTCATCTCTTTTTTAAAACGTCAAAGCAATAGACGCGGTACATTTTTGTATGAAATATTAAGGCGTGACGTCATATTTGGCGTTACGTTGATTTCGAGATATTAAAAATATTAAAATATCAAATTGATGATGGAGAACAACTCACGCCGCACTTTGTGATGTTATCATCAATGATTCAAGCGAAATTATTTATTTTAAACATAGGAATCTTATCTGTCACTAATGTCACTGGACAGTAAAATTTATACCGTATCTTGAAACGTAAAAGCTTCAGTCTTGAATATTCGTAATTAATTGACAGCAACTTTCTTTGTAAATTGATTTTGGCGCAGTGATTAAAGTACCTACCAGATGTCACTGCGTTGCATGAATAGCTCAAAGATATAACAAAGGTCCTAGTGGAAGTTTATTTCACATAAACTCCCTCTCAACAGCGAGCGCGTACTGCCGGGAGATTCTTGAAGATTTCAGTGCGGGCCACTTCTCTAGTACGAGAGTTGCTTGTTGAGGGTTGACTGTTATTTAAGGACTAATAAGTGTAATCAAAGTCAAGCACTGCCTGACAAAATTATTAACTTCTACACTTTGACCATGTTCTGTTTAGTTAAAATAAATTTATATCTGTTTCAGACGCAAGCATCCGAGTGGCGGAAAGTATTCTTCATATCAGCTTCGTTTTATTTCTTGACAAACCTCTTCTACGTTCTGTTCATAACAGCTGATATACAATCGTGGAATGAACCAAAACACTCTGAACCTATCGGTAAGATATTTTTAATGATTTTTTGAGTTCAAACCGAGTAGGTATATATTCCTATATGTTCCTGATTATTAGTAGGTAGATATGTCTATCTACCTACTAATATACTGAGATACTGAAAATAAAAGAATATACTGTCATATATTTCTATATGTTCCTCATTATTAGTATATAATTATAATCATATTCTTTTTCTGACAGTTTCCAAGAACCGAGAGGCCGTTTTAAATGTAAACAACATCAAGAGGTTGTCTATTTCGAATCCTGCGTATTATTATAATTATTGCACGGTATTGCGCGGTTAATGAACTCTCTCTATCTCTCGAAGATTCGTGATGTTTCGTGCCAATAGGAAATAGGTTTTTAGCAAGTGGCATTAAAATTTAAGTAAAGCTCATAGCGTCAAATGTCTCCATGGTGACGTAGATAGACGCGGTACTGTAATTTCAAATCTCGTTATTTTCATGTCCTCGACTTAGAAAACTAGATGAGACAATGACGAGCCTGTTGATCTAGTGGTTAGTGACCCTGACTGCTAAGCCGGAGCTATTGGTTTCCTCTATTTTATCTTTAATATGTATGTATTTAGAAATGTATAAGTATGTTTATCAGCAGTATGGTTATCATAGTACAGTCTCTGTCTAGTTTGGGATCAGACCGCCTTGTGTGGAATGTGTGAAAATATAAAAAAAATATTATCATACACGGCTTTAGTGATAAAAAGAGATTTGTGAATTAAGATAAACTTGTGAAGATTGACTGTTTTGTTAATGAAAATATATGCTAACAAGTTTCCTTTGTTTTACAGAAGACGGTGTCAAGAAAGAGAAGAGTGTAAAAGAACCCAAAAGAAAAAAGATAAATGTGACTACGTCGGTGAATGGTGAAGCGAAGTTTTAATGATACACATACTTAGTTACAGCTAGTCATGAATAACAATAAGTATTGTGATACATAAAGTGATTTTAAGACATTTATAGAAAACGTAAGATGATAAAAGGCGAATTTTACCTATTGTGAAATATAAGTGAGATTCAGTACAGTAAAAATCCAAAGCCTTGCAAGCTTGTCCAAGGTTGAGAAACAAATATAACAGTAACCTGTCGTAAATGCCTGTTGCTCTAATAATATGTTACCCCACACTACAATTGTGTAAACAAGTGATAGGTCTAGCTAAGGTAATACTCTAAAGTCTAAAAATATCAATAGTTGATTTTGAAGTAGACAAAAAGATGTTACATGTAGGCAACATAACATTTTTTGAACAGTATATATCTTGCTAACCTGTGACATATTTCCTGCCGTCACAATATCTAATAGACATTTGATATCTGAACTAATTCTTCATGATCATTTTTTCTTTTTAAACTGTTAGCATGTGCCTGAAATCCAGAATTAAGAACTTTATATGAAAATAGATGTTCTTCCATTGCCTTATGAGATTACATAAATACCCTTTTACCCGTTTGGGGAAGGCAGAGACTATACCACGCCATTTTCTATAATTCTGGCTTACAACAAGCCTTTTAACGAGGCAGATGCAGTACTCTGTAGATCTAGTAAGAGTATGTTTGTTGGACCTGCCCGCCAGCAGTACCTTACAGTTTAAAAAATATTTACCCCAGGCTTAAGTGCCTGGGTTTGATGTTATTTTAAGTGAATATGAAATTTCCAGTGCCGTATCATGTCTAATTAAAACTTATTAATTGAGTGTCCGGGTCTCCCGCCTCACATGGCTTGTTAAAATAAACATGACAAATATTTCGTCGAGTTCTGGAAGCTACTTTTACTTTGGGTAAAAGTAACTTTACAAAGTTGTTTATGTTTACGTTATGCTATGATGTTTTATTTTGTTTGGAGACAAATATTTATGAGTGTAACATTATGGAAGTGATCCAAATGTTAGTAAAGGCTAACACATTTGTAAGTTTTTGTATCGATAAAAGTTGGGATTATGTTGGTATTGTTATTTAAATGTCTGTGTTGGCATCAATTCTGTTAAAGAAATCTTGAAACCAGATAATAAACAATGCCAAGCTTAATATTTTTAATAAAAATATATAAAGAAGAAACGTACGACTAAACCAATTTTAATCAAATTAATGTAATGCTAGTTCATAATTTTACCCACATTATATCCAGTGTCAGGTGACCATAATATATGTGATTTTGTCAAATAAATGATTGGTAACATTCCTTTGAACGAGTATAAGCAAAACATCAAAAACTAAGAAACTTAATACTAAATTTAAGTAAACAACATTATTTAATTTAGCATCCTTAGTATTGTCAGAGAGCGCTTACTGGAACCTAAGAAAAATTTAAATTTCTAAACTAAAGCTACGTTGAAGGTAGTTTATTTTAAAGAGATCTACAACAGTATCAGCGACAATCTGAAACTTTTTTATATATGCTTCCAGGGCAGACGAAAACGTTTAAAATTAATGAGTTACTTAATAATTGTTTTGTGAAAGCATACATTTTTCCTTCCTACTCGTAGTTCCCTTAGCGCAATACGAACTACAAACGCAGCCCGAATAAAATTATTATTGTCAAACTTACCTTTGTTTACAATAACTTTTCCAGTTGGTTGTTTAAAAAAAAAGAAGGAACGGAAACCAAAGAGGATTCTGTAAAATGACTGCTACCGGTGCCTTGAAGCCTAATGTAAAAATTTAGCTGTACATATTTAATATATAACTTATTATTATTTAAATAAATATTATACATCAAGTATTTTTTTATTTTCTTAGCCTTTCCTTCAGTTAATCTCAGCTGTGGCATTATGACATGAAACTGGCCTGTTGGTCTAGTGGTTAGTGACCCTGACTGCTAAGCCGATTTACCACCACATCTTAGCTAAGTGCTGGTGTCTGTCTCGGGCCGAAGCCAAGTGTTACTCTATGAGGGTAATATCGTTTACGTGCAAATCATTTCTTCTAAGAGATGTTTGTGTCTGATGTATTTACTTGACTCATCATCAACAGCCTTTACTAGTCCACTGCTGGACATAGGCCTCTCCTTAGAAAGGAGGTTTTGGCCTACTATACCACGCTGGCCAGACGGGTTGGTATAGGGTTTGTGTCAAGTTTTCCTTCTTTTTGCAGTGCTGGTGTCCTGCGTTGTTTTGCGCCCTTAGTCGGCTCTTACGACACCCACGGGATGAATTGGGGTAGTGACATTTCGTATTCTTAATCCGTCACTACACGGATATTACTTGACTGTCCGACTGCAAAAATGTTTTACTATTCTACAGGTGTTAAGAATATCGGTTTTTCGAGGCTTTAATATGTATTTGGGAGTGAATCTAACGTTTTTATTGATCGGTGAAGTCTTCTTGGGACTACACCTGTAGTTGATAGGACCATGGGAACAATATTGACTGTATTTAATCGACACATTCTTGCAATTTCTAATTTCAGAAATCTGGTCTGAATACAGGAAAGTTTCTCTGTTATGGTATTTTGAAGGTGTTATGTGTATTTACACATTACATTATGGTATGGTATTATTTTATATATTAATGTTGATATTCATTCAGTTTGAGAAAATCGATACCAACGTGAATGAACTAGCATTTTCACCTGCTGGTCTAGACTGTTGTATACTAAATCTTCTCATTTATTTTAAATAAGCTATCTGAGTTTGTAAATTGTTTGTCACTCAAGGGAGAAAATTGGTTTCACGAATTTGAATACATTATCCGAAATATTGGCAACTAAAACTTTTGAATAAGGGACTCTCAACAGGACGCTATGAATTTGACTAATTGAATTATTTACTTACAATTTCATTATCAGCCTAAACTATTCCAGTTCAAATCAGGTAAAGAGAACAGCTTGATAAAGATTTGTGTTCATATATGTATGTCCATTTCAGAAAAGAAAGAAAGAAAACGAGGCCAAATAAATACATTGTTATTCTGAAAAACAAGAGACTATCAAATTATTATTTTTAATTCATAATTAAAAATATATTTTAATCTGTCATCCACTTTGCACCCGTACGAAGTCGGGGTAGATCGCTAGTACTGTATAATAAGAAGACTGCACGCATGGCGTAGTGGTTTAAGCAGGCGCCACGCCCGCCGCTTCCTACTACGCCGCGTGTTGTGGATTCAAACCCCACAAGGGACGATATACTTTGTGTGATCCACAAATTGTTGCTATGAGTCTGAGTGTTCTTTGTGTCTGTTTCATGTGTGTTTGTGTATTCCCCCGAAGTTTCTTTCAACATTTTTATCATTATTGCAGACTATGTAAGTTGTTGGTGTCTTTGTGGTTGTGTACGTTGTACGCAAAACATTTTATTACACAAGTTAGTTAGTTATAATTTTTAAATTATTATTTTTAATTCTACTATCTTTACATGTAAAAGGATAGTATGTGCGTTCGTAATACCAATATCCTAAGAGTTGTTTATTTATAATTAAGACTTGTTTATCAATATACAACTGATCATGATCGGTGTATTCAATCGAAACGTCCTTCAACAAAAATGTATCTTACTGTATTAGTCCTTAACTTCTTAAGTAACATTTTATTACTTTTTCTTAGACGTTAACTTGAATGAATCTAGTTAAGATCTTCTGAGCCAGTGGCCAAGATCGCGATCAGTGGCGTATACCTACTGAAGGAGGTCTACACCCGAAAAGTCGAAACAGGCTGAAGAGAGAAAGGCAGGGGCTATGTATGTATGTATGTATATTTATGTTTGTAATCTTAGAACTCCGTCATTCATGGAATAAATTCATTTTTTTTTATTTGCGAAGGTACACCTCTTATTGAAATTCACAGAAATATCCACCATACGGATGGAAAACCCATGGTTAAATTTAAGGAAAGAAACCTAGAACTAGAAAACCCACCGTGATAATTAAGGAAATAATTTTCCTACAATTCATCATAAATTAGTCGTATTGAAGTCGGTAACATTTTATGAAAAGTTAATTTTGTTTTTCAAACGCATTTCTAAAGTACGGGTCAGAAGTAGTCCATTACACATACTTTTACATAATGTACCTATAATACTCCGGTCTATCAATAACCTCTTGTAAGAGAAAACAGTCCACATATAACATGCCCATTTTACTATATAATTTGTTTCCTAAGCTGTTCTAAAGTCCTCCTCCTAGAAATGTATGGCCTTATTCATGGAACATGAAAGTCTACTTTAAAACTCTCGTAGCTAAAGCCCCATGTATCAAGATAACCGCAAGGCGTCCAACATACGAGTACCTATTTAAATAATGAGGCTTTGGCGTTTTTTTTAACAGTGAATACATTTGGTAAGGATTTCTATGGATACTATATACACTATATTTACTTTATATTATCTTAAGTAATTTTCATCTTTAATATTTTTGTATAAAAACAAATATCAATATTATTCAGAATTTTGTGAAATAGCCTGAATGCTTAACTATAAATGTAAACCTGACTAAATTAAATTAATAGTTAAAACAATGTTATGTTTTAAAGATTTTCGTAGTCATCCTTTCCAATCCTTTATTTTAAGAACATTCTAAAAAAAAACAACTTGATATTTTTTGTGCTCAATCAAGGATTGGAAAAGATGATTACAAAAATTTTGTTATGTCTGCTTTTCATTGTAATATATCCAGTTACACTTACGCCACAGGATGAATCTTATGACTTCATACAAATTTGATGACTCATACAAACGAGAATACGAAGGATATGGAACGCTCAATCTTATAAAATACCTTTATATATTTCACCTTACTTGCCGTGTTTAACAACCCAGGACCTATAATTTCCTTCATCTAAATATACTTTGAACTTAAATCACAGCGACTGTCTTTGGTACTCCGACAGACGTACAAATATGTAGGTGATAGCGTGTAGCTATTGTAGTGAATCTTTGCAGTTGTTCGCGGT